ACAGAGCCCCTACTTGGCCACTAATTCATGCACAGATAAAGGTACGGTATATGATCGGTGATGCATTTTGACAGATCAACACTTTGTTCAAAGAGGTTCCAAGCTTCCCTTCATGAAGTCCCATCCATGTACAGTACACAGGGCTAAAAAGAATACAGGGCATGACTCTCAGCCCCAAGAGGCTTATAAATCTTAAATCCGTCAAGAGGGCAAATAAGAAAGGAAAGGCAGAGTTGGGGAATTGAGGAGACAAGGAGTGGCAGTGAGCGGTTGGTTTATTCACATCTATCTAGGCTGTGGGAGGGGGATTTGGGACAACAATCCCCATATTCCCTTACGATTGACCATTGCACCATTACAGGTGGTGGGGGATAGGAATTGTAGGCCAAAAAAATAATAAAAATCTGGTCAAAAGATAAAAAAATTCTTCCCACCCATGCTCAAAACATTGCACTACACTAGATTTATTGGATAAGGGTATATCCTCTGTTGCCATAGAGACAGACACCTCCATGTGGGGTCACTAATCAAGTGTGACAAACACAGGAAGTGCTGGATCAGGGCCACTTGACTTTTTCTTTTCACTGAGGCAGTCACTCCCTTTCCTTTGCTTTAGATCAGCAAGTGCATCAGCATCTCCCACATTTCATTATGAGACATGTTAGATGAACACAGCTCTGTAGTCAGTGAATGCTACGGAGAGAACGCTCCTACTGCTACCAATCCGGCAGTCCCTTGGACTGCTATTCCATCCTTCTGATCTTCATGGGGTTTTGTGAAAGCAGGAGAAAGGGTGGGGAAACATGAGGGAGGTAGAAACCAAGAAAGGGTTGTCAAGATGTTCTCTCAACCTTGCTGAACGAGGCAGAATGATCCACAATAAAGACTTACTAGAAAGCACCCTATGTCTACAGGCCCAGACATCTTATTTGACTTTTAAATGACAGAAGCTTAACTTCATTCTCATCGACTTCAACTGGACCTCAACCTGACGAATTGTTTTAGGATTCCGGGAATCATTGTCTATTCACTCTTTCTAAGCAAATCGAGAAATTATTTTCACTTGTTACCAGTTGTTTTCTTTCTTCTAAGATTTTACATAACAAAGGGCTACCTTTTATACAACTGTTGATTGCATCCAAACACATGGATGTGGGCAAGCATTTTAGTTGATGAATTTTGTCCCACACATCAGATGTTCGGAAGAGAAAGAAACTGTACCCTTCATATTCAACATTCCCACTCTAAGCTTATTTTTCATTTTAATTTGCAAGTGGCCAATGTGATGTAGTATTTAAAATGTCTGAGAAGATCCGAGTTCTGGTCTCGACTGAGTCATGAAACTGGGTGACATTAAACCCATCATGCTCCCACAGCACCGCCTACCTCACAAATTCTGTGAGGATGAAAGAGCCATGCACTCGTTAGATGAAACACGGTCTGTAAGTGCAACAGAGCGATAAGTACAATTTCGTTCTGTATTTAAGATGTTTGTATGGGACTCTGTTTATATAATTTGCATGTGAAAATTAGCAGTCCTGGGAAGATACCCGGGACCCCAACAATGCAGTGGAACATATTGGGACGGAGATGCATTGATTGTGGAGGAGGGACTGCTCCCCACCACCCCACAAGGCGGAGGCAACAGAGTCCAATCTCTCAGCCACACAACTCTGCAAGAATCAGAAAGCGATGAATAAAACGCAGGGACTCCCGAGAGGTAAGGACCCTGGAGGAATCATATACAGCACACAAATGCCTCCAAACAAAACCGGGAGACAGTCTTAGTTTCGTTTCATGGCATCTTCACGAGGGCTTCTCTGCAAGCCACCAAGCAAAGCTCCCGGAGCACTGCCCCACCCATTGTGCTGGAAAGCAGCAGCAAGCCCATGATGCAGCAGGATGGGCAGGCAGAGATAAAATTATCTCCAGAGACCAGGCAGAGCTGGCGGCGGAAAGGGCTGAGCAGCCTGTCAGAGGCCTGGCTTTGCACAAGCGCTGCCGTTCAGGGTTATACTCAAGGAAGCCCAACTCAGCTCAACAACTTTCCTGCCCTCCATGCCCACCTTGCCTGGTAAACTTCGTTGGCTCACACCCACACATTAAAATGAAAGCTATAGCTTTCATAGCATGCCATTCCTATATAGTGGGGGAGAGGGGGCCCGAACTGTCACTGATTCTAACTACAGCTGGCAGAACCCCTTTGCCCAGAATAGATTCTGGTGCTTCCTTCCATCTGTGTATCTTCGCTCTGCCCTGTTTTGCAGCTACAACTGAGCCAGTGCACCATCCACCGGACTCTGGCAGAATGTGGTCTGTTTGATGTCAAATATGATGGACCTCTTAGATCAAATCATCAAACCACATTCTTTTGTGTACTTGCACGTTTTCTTCTTCTTTCTTCTCCTCAAGATGAACTGGCAGATTTTGAAGTCCTGAGCCAGGGAGGCTGGGTTTTTGAAAAATAATGTCCCCCACCCTGCAAGGCTCATGGAGTGAAAGAAAAACAGAAAATGTTTTGGAAATACTCTCGACGTGGAGTCACACCGAGGGAAGACAGATAGGCTAACAAGGTGCTTGCAGGCAGAGATTAATGATGAACTATTAATGGGTTTGTGAAGGTTCTCTCCACATCTGCTGGACACTTCTGGAAAATGTTTTTTATTGTGCAAAACCTTTCTCAGCAGCTGCAGAGTCTTAAGGGGAAATCCAGATGTCACTTTCCATTTCTTCTCTCCTGTGTTTTCCCACTACTTTCATCACCTTTTCTTTTACCACACAAAAACCCATTCAGAAGTGAAAGCTGGGGGACAGCTGTCCAAAGTCTTTTGACTGAGGAATGCTTAGGAATCCACCATCTGGAAGTATCCTGGCTGGACCGTGTTCACAGCCAGCAGGGTCTCTGAACAGATTCATTATGCTTTTTCAGTCTAAGAACTCTCAGTTGGATCCTTTCAAGAAATGAAATTCTAATAAGGAAAAGTAGTTTGCCCACCTCCACTGATTCCCCCCAATGGCCATAAGACATGCCAATCAAAACAAAAGAAGCCAGGGGCAGGGTGGTTTGACAGGAAATTGTTGTACTCAGAAGGACCCATTTTATTGTCCAGTTTATCCCAAGATGGAGAAATCCAGTCAAAATGCGTTTATGTTCCAGGTGTAGGTTAGAATTCAGCAAATCTTCTGCATCATATTAGGAGAAAAGCGCACATAGTTCAGGCTTCTGGCAATCTACCTTCTTAATCAGAACTTGTGGGATCTACCTTCTTTCCTAATTTGATTCCACTCTCAAATGCTGGAAACTGAGACAGATGGATACATCCTTTTCCCCCCTTAGTCAGCAAAGCCCAAGAGCAAAGAAGGCGATTTTCTTTCTCATCCTATAAAGATTCACAACAGGATGTTGTAATGCTGTCTGTGAACCTAACATGGGGGTGGGTAGGTGGTGGAAGAAACTACCCTTACCCTTTACACAAGTTGACACTATAACATTTCCCCTTCACTTCCCTCTGTATTTACCCCCTTTTCCTGGCACAGTTCCTCTGCCCAGTAATACAGCCCGCCCACCTGCGGTGCAGCCCGGCTGGTCCCACCCTTGAAGGATTCCCCTAGGATAAGAGGATGCGCTCTGGAGAACCACACCAGCTGCAAAAGAAAGCCACTGCTGTTCTCCAGAGAGTTGGCCAGGCCCAAGCGCATTATTCTAGGGCGCCTTTTCTCAGAGTGTAGTGATAATACAGGGCTGAACAAAGCGCTAGTCCCCACAGCTCTTTTTCAGCCCCCATAATGACATTTTGTGATGTGGGGTGTGTGTGGAATCTTGTTATCTTGGAAGATGCAATGGGCTGTGATTTTTATGGGGGGGGTGCTAGCCAGATACGAGCATCTCCCCAAGTCAAATCTAGAAGTGGTTGTCCAGATGCCTGTGTTTTCAGGCTGGTCAGGTCGGTTGGCTTTCAGACATTTCTGGGCCTGCCACAGGGGCTGGAGGTAACCACTTGGTTCTAAGCTGGCTAAAACTGTCCACCTCTAAAATATGCAAAAGACTAGATGTAATGAGAGGGAGGGTGGGCTGTGGGAGACCCCACCCTGAGGCCTCACTGAGGTAGGGAACTCTCATGGGTCAGGAGCCGGGGGGGGGAACTCAACTCGCCACCTTTCTACTCTACAAGGAATTGGTCCTATTTCATACAAGGGCCAACTTGGATACAGGTTTATATGCAGGACAAGGGTTTGAGGGTATGGTTTAATATCTGTATGGGTCATGCTGGCCACATGACCACAGAAGATTGTCTTCGGACAAACGCTAGCTCAGTGGGTTGGAAATGGAGATGAGCAGCACCCCCTAGAGTCAGACATGACTGGACAAATTGTCAAGAGGAACTTTTACCTTTACCTTAATACCTGGACTGGAAAGCTTGAGACCAGAAACGGATGTTACCAATAGCCCATAATTATAGCTGAAAGCATGTTAATATTGGGGAGAGTGGACTGAGTTAGCTTTTCAGGTTTAAGAAATCAGATTTCAATGGAATCATGTGATTAAGTCCTTAAGAAGAATCACCAAACAAAGAAGGCTAATTTGTATATGTCCAGAGGGGATAGAAACTCCTACTAGGATACTTAGAGGCTTTCATCAGTTAAAGATTTTCTAATTATGGGCAGTCTAAAAGGCTTCCTTTTACCCATAACTGTAGAATGTGACAGAGCTAAATCACCAAACAAAGAAGGCTAATTTGTTTATGTCCAGAGGGGAGAGAAACTCCTACTAGGATACTTAGAGGCTTTTTTAGACTGCCCATAATTCTAATTATGGGCAGTCTAAAAGGCTTCCTTTTACCCATAACTGTAGAATGTGACAGAGCTACAGTAGGAGAACACACAAAAGTTCTTAAGGGCAAATATTCCAGCAAGTCATTCGCCTTGGACACTATTTCCCAGATAAAGCTAATGTTCATCCTATGTATTTACAGGGTTTGATCCAAGAAAAGAGTGTGGGGATTTATTGATGTAATCCAACCATTTAATTACAAAGCATTGTAGAAAGCTGCTGCAAAACAACAGCACCATGACAAAACAAAGGAACAGTAGCAAAGAACAAGAAGGTCCCCTAAGCCCTGGAACAGGAAGCTCCATGGTGAGGGTGGTGGTCGTGGGGGGGGGGGAAGGCTGACAAAGGGTAGCCTCTCTGGCCTCCTTCTGCACCAAATCTGCTTCAACAGGACAAGGAACCTGCTGCCCTCCATGAACATTTTTGGTCTCACTGTGCTGTTAGCAGACAAAAAGCATAACTAGGAAGGGTCAGCTATATAACAATTGGTTGAATTCCATTCCAGATTCCTACTTAAGATACAGGTGGTCCATGTGGGGGACCCACCAGATGCAGCTCGCATCAGTCCCAGCAGGTACATCAAAGGGTGAATGATCCAGGGGAGCTGCCATTCCTCAATCTTCGGAAGGCTGCTGGTTTCCCCATCCATGCTTCAGTCATTGCACGAAGAGCAGAGGTTCTGGACAGGAGAGCAGCTTTCCTTTTGTGTTCTGCTACGGTCGATATTGCACCTACCTTAAATGTCCTTTTGGCCGCCTCTCATTCACTCCAGACTCTTGTTCATTCCCCATAAGGATGAACCAGGGCTCATGACCTGAAAGAAAGCACAAGCGGGTGTGCTCTACGAAGCACACAAGAGATCCCCTCTTCTTCATACATCGACCACGTAGGGGGCCACGAGCTCCAGGTCCACAACAGACTCTTCCAGTGGCTGCTCGACATGGAAGTCCCGCTGGTGCTGAGGTCCCTGGCGGGCCTTTTTGCCCCCACGCTGGGGAATGGGCAGCTCTGAGTGGTGGGCAGGCAGCGGTGGAGTGAAGAAATAAGGGTGCAACAGTGCCTGGGGAGGAGAAGTGAATTAAAATGGTGTTGGGGCTGCATGACATGGTGTCCAAAACATTGTGAATACACATTGGTATTCAGAACTGTACTGTATCAATACACAAGTATTGCCTCTCCCTCCCTCCCTCTCACACAAACAAAATACATTTTTGTTTCCCTCAGTTGCCAGATACATGCATGAACCAGAAGTGGATAAAATGAGAAACACCAAATGTTTTTGAAAACACAATATCCATCGGCCTTCATCAGAGCAGCCAGTGGTTCAGTGGTTGGGGATGATAGAACCGGTAGCCAAAAGACATCAAGGGCCACAAGTTGCCTATCCTTGCTTCTAATGTTCGCACACAAAGGATGAGTAGGAGACCCTCTTGCTCTCTCATGAATGGAAGCAGATAGCCCTTGGCACATTGAAGCAAGGCCTTATTGATGGAAGGATCTAGGAGATCCCAGCCATGTTGTTGTTAGCTGAAAAGATCCTGCAACTCTCCCATGTTTTCCATTTATTTTGTCCACCATTTCAACTACCAGAAAAAAGAACCTCTCTCTCTCTCTCTCTCTCTCTCCCTACCTACCTATATATCTAAAAAAACAGAATAACTACACAACAGTTTTAAATTGTGAAGGGCAGGAAGCCTGTGTCCTGAAGCACCCTCCCCACTTCATCCCACTACAGGTCACCCTGTCCACCACAAAAATACCAACACAGTCTGAGGTGCCCTCTTGTGGCATTTTAGAACAAAAACAACTCCCGGCCTGAAAACATTTTGATGTAATTTGTATCAACACAAAGATATACAGTGGTGCCTCGCTTAACAAGGATAATCCGTTCCAGCGAAATTGCTGTAGAGCAAAATCCTCATTAAGTGAAATAAAAAAATCCCATTGAAACGCATTGAAAACCCTAATGGGCTGAAAACTCACAGTCCAGCAAAGATCCTCCATAGGGGCAGCCATTTTTGGTGCCTGTAAAGCGAGGAATCCATCCAAAAACACAGCGGGGAGCCATTTTACACAGCGGGCGGCCATTTTGAGGCCGCCGATCAGCTGTTTTGAAAACATTGTCTAGTGAAAAATCAGTTCCCGAAGCAGGGAACTGATCGTTGGGAAGCAAATTTTGCCTATTAAAACATCGTTTTACGATCACAAAAGTGATCACAAAACAGTCATCGCATAGTGGTTTCGTCGTTTAACGAGGCAATTGTTAAGCGAGGCACCACTGTACTACAGAACCAAGGTGGTTCAAGAAGGTCTGTGTTCATTTTTTATCAGATTTCAGAGCCCTAATTCTGCACACTCCCTGGGCAGCACATTCAATGAAGACAACTGGGTTCTCTTGGTGGGCAGATGCCCCTTCATCCATTGCCTAAGACCTTCTCTGCACTAAGCACGGAGGAAAGCATCCAGGGCACCTTCAAGCAGACCAGCCTAAAGGAACCTCCTGACACAGGCCAACCCACTGCCAGGATTACCAGTGTTAATCTTTTATCTGTTGATAAGTGGAGAGCAGTTTGATGGACTAATTACATATCTTTTTTGATATAATATTTTTACCCCACTTCTCAGCCCAAAAAGGCTTCTGGACCAGCTTACATATAATTAAAAAAACTGTTCCTCTAAGTGAATGGATCCCAACCTTGAGTAACCGAGATGTTCCTGGACGGCAAATCCCAGAAACCCCCGCACAGTACAGCATAGCTGGTGGTGAAGGCTTCTGGGAGTTTTAGTCCAAGAACACCTGGGTTACCCAAGGTTGGGGACTACTGCTCTAAGTTTACAATCAACAGAGACATGTGATATAAAAGGAAAGGGGGATGGGGAGGAAATTAGGGTGGAGGGATAGTATTCTTTTAACAGAACTGGTAGAATGGTTCCACTTTTCACCTCTCTCCATCTTATTACTTGTCTGGTGACCATGAAAAGGAGAGGCACCTTTAGGAAGGCAGAATCTCAGCAGGGCTGGTGGGATTTTTTTTTCAACTGACCTTAAGCAAACCATGAGATTTGGGCTACTCCAAACTCTGGTCTGGGCATGTTCCAACCCAACAAACTAAATGTAGCCTGCCATGGGTTAAATAAGCCACTATCTTTTGCTGCTTGCCTGGGAATACAAACATAGGTGGTTTAAGAAGCTCCTGGTGAGCTCTCAGACCTGGGTGTTGGGTTGCACCGAGCTGGGAGACGCACAAAACACTTCAGGCCTGCCTTACTAGCCAATAATTCTTTCATGCCACCTGAGGTGAGAGAAAAAGTGCCGTGCCAACCCATGTTTCAATCTTGTCTGCTGCCATTCTTTGTATTATTGTTTTATATGTTTGAATCTGAAAACTGCCCAGAGTGGCCTTAGTGGGTGGTATAAAAATCCAACACCAGTCTCACACTTGGGGTACAGCAACAGAGGCCTCCATGGACAGCAGGACTAGCAAGACAAAAGGGTCATGCCAGGCCCCAAATGTCTAGCTCTGAAGAGCCCTTCTTCAGAGTCAGAATTAAATATGGGGCACACACAGTCTCTCTGGGCACTCCACTCCCAGTACGCAGCTCTGAGGTCTCCTTCACAGCTAGGCACTGGAGGCCTGGCCCACTCGTGCTGCTTAACGAGCAGCCATATTTGTGCCTCTACAGCCATGTCTGTATAAACCCCGATGCGCTCCCTACACATTTCCTTGTTTTGTACCTTGCAGAGGATTTTGGTTTTAGCAAAGGCCTCGGGCTAGAAACCACCACTCCCACTCTCTGTCCCTTACCTGAGCCGCCTGCACACGCTGCTTGGAAGGATAGACCAGGAACTGTTTCAGGAGCTGCACAGCTTGTGGGGAAGCATCAGGGACCACTTGCTCCAGAGGAATGGGCAGCTTCTCCTTGAAGGAGATCTTGTTGTAATCGGGCAACTCGGTGATTTCCTGTTCACCCCCCACACACACACACAAAAATGAATGGGATGTAAATAGGGAAACTCAGCCTTTACCCTAGGCCTCAAAAAGCTATATTCCTATCACACACACAAAAGGACTAATTGATCAATCCCTACTAAAACTCACCGGCCAGATCTTCTGGTTAGGTGTCCCAAGCACTCGGAGGACGCAACATAGCTGTTCGATATCATTTTCTCCAGGGAAGAGTGGAGAATTGTTCAGAAGTTCAGCAAAAATGCAGCCCACAGCCCTGGTCAAAGGAGAAAGGGTAAGTAGTACAAGATAAGGAGGTAAGGGTGTTGGAGACACAGCCCTGGTCAAAGGAGAAAGGGTAAGGAGGTAAGGGTGTTGGAGAAAAATAACAACCTTGCATGCTTACCAACACTAGCTAGAGATGTGTCTGAGGCCCAGAGGGACTTTCTTGGGCTACAGTGACTGCTTTCCTTTCTCACTAACCTATTAGCAAAGTCCTTAGTTTTTCCGGGCTTGAGGCAAGCCACTCCCCTCTATCAGTCTGCCTCCACTTGTGTGTTTTATCTCTTCTTCCCTGACCATTGTTGACAGTACGCATCAGTACTCTCTGCTCCTGATCTATGTTATGCAGATGCAATGGCAGTGTGAGCCTCCCCACATGGTTGTGGCTGCAACATCTTTTAATTCATTTATGCTTCTGATTGCAACTCAAAAATCTTTTTCCTTTTTCTACCTTAAGCTAACTGTATAGTGGTTATTACTTACAAGGGGGATGGGTAGCAGGCTGGGATTTTTGTTATACTCTCTCCACATTTCCCATTTTTGTACCTCATTCTCTGCTAACAAAAGGAATCCACCAAATTTCAGAAAATATGTAATAAAAGGTTCAAGGTGGAAATGATGGATCATTCTCTAACCAAATCCTTACTGGAATTCTATATTGCAAATTGAAGCCTGATCAATCATGATCTTAAAGGTTTTCCCAAACAAATGTCATTCTGAAATCTTGATTCCTTCCTGAGCTTCCTAGATTGAGAATTCTGTCAGTGAAATAAATTTAATTTTGTAGGTCGGATGCCCTCAGAGAGGCAAAGTAATTGCTTCCAGTGTGTCTGATACTTCTGATGATATGGGAGTGTCTACTTTACAAACTGAGACAGGTTTTTCTGCAGAGGCTTTGCCTAAACCAGCAAATCCTTTGAACAGATCCTGAAAGCATTTGACATGCTCACCCCCCCCCCAAAAAAAACACAACACAGTTACACAGTTCTCAGAATAAGCTGTGGGGAGATCCATCCTGGTTAAACCACATTACACTTACAGAATACATGTGCCCACAGGCTCCTCTTGTGCTCCAATAAAATGTTGGTTTTTACTTACGCAAAAGGAATTCTACGCTGACCCAAGCACTGCCCAAAAACCCTCTATGTGTTCAGCAGGCCCAAAAAGTGGACCATGGGCAATAAGCCACACTCAATAGAGATAGTGGAGCTGACTCTTAAGTCATATCTGCAGGGTTTGGAATGGTTGCCCTATTACCAACCCTATCCTCTGTTGATCGCATCCAGGAAAGCTACTGCTTTTGCTTAAAAATGGCAGTACTCACCACTTTTCAGGGCTATCCAAAAAGCCTGCAAGTCTGTCTGCAGAACACTCCAACAACCAACAATGACTTAATGAAGGCTCCCCATGGCTAGGAGCCAGTGTGTCATAGTGATTAAACTGTAAGAATGGGATTTATGAGATCCTGATTCTAGCTTTACTGCAATATTGGATGAATCTTGGGCCTTTCACTCACTCATTCATTCACTCACTCTCCTCCTCTCTCTCTCCTACCTGGCCTCTCGTAGAGTACTGCTGTGAGTATTAAGTGAGGAAGGGAAACACTACATGCCCTGTCTTGCTTTTAGTGAAGGAAGAACAGTATACAAATGCAACAAACACATAATACAAATAAATGCTAGACTAAAAAGTCTCTTATCAAGAAAAGGGGGTGATTTCTCACCTGTATGAAATTAGACCATTCTTTCAACTATTGTCATTCCCATTATATAGGCACTTAACTAGACAAGGCATATAAAATTGTTAGGGGAAATAGTTGGGTTCCCCTACTACTTTACTAATAGTTGCAGTTTTAATAGGATTGGATAAATTTTCCACATTCAGGAAGGAAGATCCTTAGAATAGCATAGAGATGGGAAGATCTTACAGCCAGAGGTGAAAAGAGTGCAACCATCCAGATATAGCTGGACTGCAATTTCTAGCAGTCTATAAGACTGTGCTGTGCCTAACCTACCTTACAACAAAAGGCAAGACAAAGATGCTCACCAGAGATCCACACCTTCATCATACTTGCGAGCACCGTAGAGGAGTTCAGGTGCCCGATACCACCTGAAAGAATATATCACAAGAGTTAAAACTTTAAGGGTACCCAAACCCATTCAGCTCTACTACCACCTTGCTCCAGCCATCCACCAGGAACAACCCCTCTCATTACCATACGAGTCACCATTCCTGGCAAACTTTCTGTTTAAGCACAACTAAACTCTGAAGCCTTCTAATGCCTAAGCCAGGCTTCAAGAGCTTTGAAACAAGTGGAATGGATTTGGAAGATTCTTCCTTTCTTGGTTTATTGCTCAGGATATATCCCTGCTCATCCCTACTCACCTGGTGGCTACCTGGTGGCTATACAGCCTCTCCCCATCATTGGTGAATACCCTAGCGAGACCAAAGTCTGCAATTTTCAACTGTCCTGTGGAGCTGATCAACAAATTGGCTGGTTTCAAATCCTGAAAAGAAGAGGCCAACAATAAGAAGCATCCCCAGATTTTAAGAAAATTGAAGGATCCAGAATGCATAGCACTCATGGGTTCAAAGGAAAGTAGTGCAGGGATCTTGTGGAAAAGAGAACCACCTTATGGTCATAGGAGAGCACAGCTCACCCGGTGCATAATGGAGTTGGCGTGGCAGAAGGCCACTCCTTTAAGCAGCATGAGCATATAGCCTTTCACTTGGGCATCAGTGAGAGGCTGCTCAGAGTTGCGGATCACCTCCGACAGATCAGATATCATGTATTCAAAGACCAGCACAAACCCTGTGCCATGAGGGAAGACATCCTTCAGTTTCACCACCTAAGGAAACAAGAGGAAGGCAGTACCATAAGCCCGGAAACTTTCAAATATGTAGAGGCTAACAGACTGAACTGAAGTCAAGAAGTTTTCCAGATCAAATCTCATCTCAGTCATATATTGATTAGGTAGAATTATTTTACGTGAACCACTATCTCAGTATCAGCCGATCTACTTCTCTAACATCACACTGTCCTATTTTACAAGATAGTTTTGAGATTTGCAACGTGATAATGTGTGTACAACACTGATGAGCACTTGAAAGCGTTGCATAAATGTTAAGGTAATCATGCATCTTGAGCAAAGCTCCCTAACAATTTTTTTTGTGTGAAAATTTCAGAAAAAATAATTGTGTGTTCTCAGATCCTTCCTATATGGCAGAAACTGGATGTTTATGAGAAGAACAAATAGAGATTTTAAAGGCGCTGATTAAGCTGCTATATTCCACGGGCTAAATCCATTGTTAGTCCCACTTAGGGAAGACATTCACCCATTTAAATGAGTGGGACTCACTACTCACAACTACTCAAAGTCTTATTAATTTCAACAGACCTACTCCATAATTTTTCAACAAGCCCCATCCATTAAAGATAGTTTCTATTCCACAATGGCTTTGATATGGATTTTAAGAGATTCTGACCATATTCCTATACTCTGAATTAATACACATAAAGTGGTAGACTTGCTTTCTTCTTTTTGTATCACAAAAAGCTACACTGAACTCATGAAAACCGCTGCCACAAGCAAACTCCTGTTTTAATGTAGCCCCTTAATCTCTCTTGCACACACTCACACATTTCAAGAAGCTACTCACATGCTGATTTTCCTCAATCTCCTGCAAGGCTTTGATCTCCCGGAGAGCTTGATTGGGGATCCCATCCTCCAGCTTGCGAAGAGCCACCTTCTTCAGAGCAACAGTCTCACCTGTCTGGAGAGAAAGGCAGCAGAGTAAAACCAAAAGCAGGTACTGTTGTTGTCCTCTCCTCAAAAAACTTAAGAAGGATACCAAGAGCTTACAGCACCAGCCTCCGGTGGCCAGACATAGCCAACTTACTTCTATGTTCTTCGCTTTGAAAACAATGCCATGGGCCCCTTCTCCAATTCGGCCAAGGATGCTATATTGGTCCATAGTGCTCCCTATTAGTGGAAACAGAAACATAGCCTTGAGTGTCCATTAGAATGAAACGCAACTGAACATCCACATGTACAGCTGATCTTTTACCATTTATGTCACCCTCTTGCAAGACTCTACCTAGGTCTGTACTATTTACTCTGATCTGAATTTGGATCAGCTGTGAGACTGCAGCTTCTTATAGCCAGATCAGTACTATATGTTTAAACTACTGTATATATGGCACTCTGGGTTGATTACAGGATTGCAGATTTCACTAGCTATCTCTGCACTACATATTTAAACTGATTTGAGAATGGGTTCTCACAACACACTGAAAAGAAACTGTGACTCCATCAAGAAATACAAACAAGAAACTCGTAGCACTGTCACAACATTATAATTCCAATTCCAATTTGGGAGTGGGCTAATAGTTACATATTTTCTTTAAAAAGATGCTTCATGAGAAAAGTCCTTGGGGCAACCAGTTTGTACTACTTTGCTCTACAGGACCACACACAACAGAAGCAGAAGATGGGAGCCTTTAATGGCTGAAGAGAAAGATTTCTGCTAGGGGACCCCAGCTCTCCCTTTAACTTCATATTTGGGGCACTTCAGGAGGAAGTTCCTTATCCTGGCCCACATCGAACATGTTCAGCATCCAAAGTGTGTTGTGGAATATGGGCCGCAACCGATGCCTAATGGCCTGTTTTGCCTCTGCACAGAGAGGTTCCTTCTTACTCATGGCTATCAGTTGTTTAGAGAGCAATCCTCCCAAAATACAAGTGGTCCCTCGCAAGACAATGTCAATTCGTTCCGTGAAAATCGCTGTCTTGTGAAAACATCGTCTTGCGAAATGCAGTTCCCCGTTGGAATGCATTGAAATCTATTTAATGCGTTCTAATGGTGGGGGGGGGGACTGTTTTGCGAAGCATCGGTCTTTAAAAAAAAGTCTTGCAAAGCACGGACCCAAACATCATCTAGCGAAAATCGCCCATAGGAAAAACCGTTTTGTGAAGCATAACAGCGATTGCAAAAACCCATAGTCTTGTGGATTAATCGTCCCGCAAGGCAATCGTCTTGCGAAGCACCACTGTAAAACACATGTGCTTATGCTAGAGAGAAGAATCTGTGAGCTGTGGTCTAAAAAACCCTAATTTTCCAGGTGTAGTCCAACATCCTGTTTCTCAGGAAACCCACCAGGACGTCATGGTCCAGGTGTAGTCCAACATCCTGTTTCTCACAGTGGCTGGTCAGGAAACCCACCAGCAGGCCATGAAGGCAACGGTGTTCCGCCTCAGCGATTCAGCATCATACTTTCTTAGCACATGGCAGTGGCCTTCCAAGGAGTGTGAAATCAGAACGGAATCTCTCCAAATATGATTGGAATACAACTCCCATTATCACTCGATGTTGGACATCCAGAATAGGGTTGGTGAGAGCTGCCATCAAATAAAATCATTTCAACTTAGAGCTAGCAGGCAGCTTTAACAGCCACCTATCCCTAAGCTAGGGATGTATTGAGCAGACAACTGTATTCCTTCATTATAGGCAGTACGACTGCTTATAATGGGCAGTTTTTTAACTGCTGTTAGCTGCCCAGAGTATGCACTAGATTGGTGGGGTATAATAACTGAAATGAATAAAATAAACAAATAACTTGCCCTTCTGCCCCCCACAAAAAAATCTACTGCCAGCCAATTTCACTGGATGCCCCCTCTCCAATACTATGAAAAGGGGGCAACAGACTTTCTGCCCCAGCCTCTGTGCGGTACCTGACCTTGTCAGCCTGTATCATGCTCCCCAATTGCTCTTTTTTCTTAAAATTAAAAGATCCTGCCACAAGGGGCGGGGCCCACGTGGTCTTCCGCAGAAAGTGCTCCCTCTCCCCCCACACACACACACTCCGCGGCTGTGCTTGGACTGCAACTCTCCCCATCGCTCACCATGGGGGGGGGCGGGTTTTTTGCAATGCAATGCAACAAAACCGGGAGGGCTACAGCTACACGTCCAACACTCCCTCCTAGTGCTCTGCCTTTCTTCCAGGCCCCCCCTTCCCGCCTTTTTTGCTGTCCTTTCTGCACCTCCCCCACGCCCACACCCCACCCCACTCAGTTTCTACCCACCATACAGCTGCTATAGGCACCACAGCCTGTGTACGCAGGTGAATTTTAAAGCGGGGGGGGGCTGGTGGCGACGATTTCACCACAAGCAATCACAACAATCCGCCCCCGCCTTTTTTTTTTAGACACAGTCCTAAGAGTCTCGATGGTGCCCCTCGACACCCAAGGGAAAAAGTCGCGCTTAGTTAAAAAGCGACGACACGTAGGTAACCGAGGAGACCCGCTTCGGGTCCTTCTTCAGGTGAATTTTAAAGCGGGGGGGGGCTGGTGGCGACGATTTCACCACAAGCAATCACAACAATCCGCCCCCGCCTTTTTTTTTTAGACACAGTCCTAAGAGTCTCGATGGTGCCCCTCGACACCCAAGGGAAAAAGTCGCGCTTAGTTAAAAAGCGACGACACGTAGGTAACCGAGGAGACCCGCTTCGGGTCCTTCTTCCCGTCATGCACCGCTCTGCCGGCGCTCTC